TCCGTCCAGCTCAACACACCAAAAAGATTTCTTTCTCCACAATAACAGAAAACTGTTGCCGTTACAGCTAGTTGGAGAATAAAATGCTCGGGGAATAAAATGCTCAGAGACAATCCAGTGCTGTCCTGGTTCATTAGACTCTACTTAAACACACCTTACATAGTGTGCCAACAGGCCACACCCCCTCCTGATGATCCTGTCGCTGTGTTAACATCTGCTGACTGAGGATCAGTTAGTGGGAATGTCTGTAATATTAACATTAGCTTTAAACTTCAGTCTGAATTTTATTTTGTTTTTAAGGTTTTATTTGGCCTTTTTTTTGCCTTTATTCGATAGTGACAGCTGTAGACAGGAAAGGGGGGAAACTGACAAAAACACCAGAAGAAGAAGAAGATACCTCAGAACTTGTCGTTTTAATGACAACAACAACAACAACCAGAGTGGACGTTTATCAACATTCAGTCTGCAGATTCAAACTGTGGTCACACTGAGCATGTTCAGTCAGTCACATGACTATAACCTAACAGTGAAGCTCTGTATCAATAATCACCGATCAATCGTCAGTCGCATTCTCTCATCATCATCACATCAACAGGTGGGCGGGTCCACCTGCACACTGTGCTCTGATTGGCTGTTGTGGTCCAATGAGGAATGCTTTTAGGATCCTTTAGTGCTTCTGATCATCTGCTCCATCATGTTCCACTGATCTGGAGTCACCTGAGACACCAACAGACATTCCATCATCCTTTTTCAATTTTCAATTCTATTGCTTATTAATAATGATGATTCATGTTTCTGAGGGACAGATTTTAGTGTGACACAGTTTTATTTACCCTCCGCAGCTCGTTAAACTCTCCGGCCATCGAAACATATTCTCCTCCATCCAACCGGATCACCTGGAAACAAACAGTTATTAAAATCTGACCTTTGACCTCAGATCAGTCTGACCTCAGATCAGTGAACTCACAGCTCCAGACATCCAGGTAGCGTAGTCGCTGCTCATGTACGCCGCCAGGTTTGCGATTTCTTCTGGTCTTCCCAGTCGACCTGTCGGGATCCGACCGATCATCGCCTTCTCAAAGGATCCGGTTGGGTCCAGGCGGCTGAACGCCCCCTAAAAACAACAAGCAACAGACAAACAACAGGTAAACAACTAAAAAAACTGTAAATTATAAACTACAAACTCGCTGTGGTCAGATGGGCCATACCTTGGTTCTGATTGGTCCAGGTTGGATTATGTTGAACCTGTGGCCGTAGCGCCCCCACTCTGCAGCCAGAGATCTGACACACAACAACAACAGTGTTACCATGGCAACCACACAGCAGGCTGATCCGAGGTCAGTGTACTGCTGAAAGGTCAAAGGTCAGACTGACTTATAGAGCGCCTCGACTCCAGCCTTCGCCGACGCACTCGGGACCACGAAACCAGAACCAGACTCAGCATAGATGGTGGTGATGGCCAGGAAGGATGCACCTAAACAACAACAACAGTAAATAATAAACAACATGCAGGACACAGGGGTGGAGCAAGACACTCGATCACCATTATTGATCTGAATAGGTGACTGTGGTCGGTACATACGTTTACCTCATTGTCTGAACCACCTTTAATATCAACATCATACACTGAACATCTCACTGATTCTCACTGACCTCTGACCTCTGTCTCTTAGTGACTTATTTTTAACTCATCTGAATTCAACCCTTTTCAGCCACATGTTTGAGCTGAGGAGCTGCTTTTTGATTTTAATCTGGCTGAAACCTTGGTGGTCTGGATTGTAGACTTTATGCTGCAGGTCTCAGAGGGGGAGAGTAAACGCTCCTTTTCTACTGGCTCTCTTCAGGGCTATGTCTGTGTCCCCTTTACATTGTCCCCACCAGCTTGGGGACAGGCACATCCTAAAACCCTGTTACCATCAGTCTACTCCACAAAGATGAATCTGAGCCTGGGCTGCTGGGAGAGTTTAATTTAAGAAAGGCCTCATCACACCAATTAACTAAGACTATAGGAACCACAAGTAGCCCAGCATTCAGAGAACGTAGTGTTCTAGAGGGGTAGCAGCCGATTCGAGCGTTTTCATGGAAGCCTAAACTAACTAAATTATAATTCATATTTGAAAGCCTTGTTCTTAGTCTTACTCATCGCAACTGGAAACCTGCAGTGCCGTTTATTTGTTATAGTGTAACCGCGCTCCTGACCGTACTCTGATTTTATATCTGAATTCTCAGAGTTTTTTATAAGTTTAGTCCTTAAATTCAGATAAAGTAATTATTGTAGGTGATTTTAATATTATGTGGTATGTTGACAATGACAGCCTTAGTAACAATTTATGTCATTAATAGACTCATTGGGCTTCTGTCGAGGTGTTAAAATAACCAATATTGTTTTAATCACTCTTGACATCGTTTCGTATCTATGGCATTGAGTATTGAACTTTAATAGTCTTTCACATAATCCATCTATCCT